TAATCCATATATAAATTGCGTGCTAAATGCTAGGGAACACTCATAGATACTACAGACTAGGGGCTAGAATTTCCTATTCCTATTAACTTTGGCTTGCAAGTGAATGACAGACACCAGAGACGAGTACAAAGGCCTCCCACCATCCAATGAGACCCCAAATAACATTTCAGCAAGTGCCAGCAAAGCTTCAACGCCGAAATACAAAAGGCTGCCAGCCAGCCAGCCAGCCTGCCAGCCAGCCAGCCACACAACGAAATGAATCCACACACCAACAACAATGATGATGCCAACAAAGCAGACCCCAAAGAATCGACTACAGGTGCAGTTTTTTGGGGGCATGGGGCAAGACGGGCGGAGCTGTCTCTATAGCTCCACATTTGATTCTGTTCCCACAGACATCGCCATCAACCCCGGCACCCGTCAACCTCTAATAGACTTTTCACGCTTCGGTTTTAAATTGAGGTGCTGATTTTGTACAGCCGATACCCCGTACATACATCTATAGTATATGTAAATGGATACCTTTTACTTGTGGTTTACCAGGGGGCTTATTAGTTTGAGGCTCCTGCTAGGTGATCTGGCAGTACAATAGACTGATGGAATACATCTCAAAGAAGTCACAAGGAAGCCTCCTGACCAGCACCACCAGAGCTATCGATGGAGAGAGATATAGAGAGAGAAAGAGAGAGGAATGAAATTTGCTATATTTATTCCTGAAGTAGAATTGCCCTCCCTTCCCAATAGGTATCTTCCAGTCGAGCGATAATATTCTGCCAAAAGTTCTCACTTTATTTTTGCCGATTTCGTTTTACGTTTTATTTTATTGGAGAATGGAGAAGTTTTGCAATTGCAAAACTTTTTCCAATGGAAAAGAAACAAAGGAAAAAAAAAAAAAAAAAACAGATGCTATTTATGCGAAAGAGTTGAAAGGAGGAAAGGACTTGTCCCAGAGTTTTTCCAGTTGAAAGTTTTTTGTGTGGATACTCGTATTTTTTCGGGAATATTTGTAATTAATTGCTGGCAAAACCAGCGACCGCTATTGCGGCTGCCAAAAGCCGAGACAGATGCACGATTCCTGGGGTATGATACCAGGACACTATCCGTGGGATCTTCCTTACTCTCTTGTTGTATATTTTGTTGGCAGTCAGGGACTCCTGCCAGCGCAGCTGCTGCTGCTGCTGCTGCTGCTGCTGCCGCTGTCCTGGCAATTTGTTGTTCCGCTTTTGAGGGGGAAAAACTAATAAAACAAATCGCATGTTTAGCCAAAAGAGTAGATTTCTGGTCATTGAACTCACTCAGAGCCGCCAGCAGGGCAGGGCAGGGCGGCATACCATAATATCTATTCCTGGCAACCCTCCTCGATATATCTGACCAAAGTCATGGCCTAAGGCCTTGTGCCACGCCGCCCGTGCCCCATTCCACACACACACACACACACACAGAGCAAATCCAATTGTAATTTTAAGTGCAGTGCAAATCCACAGTCAGAGAAAGCCCTTCGAAGGAGTCCCCCCCATCTTTGAAGGGAGAAAGTGGGCGTTGGTTGGTCCTGCAATTTGTGTTCCTTATCAGCGATCCCGGCGCATTGATTGGAACTCTGTTTCGCTCTGCATTTATGCTTGAAGGCGTTTCCGACAGCCGCGTTAGTTTTATGGACACTCGGACTCATCCCCATTGGGCATTCGTCCAGGATTGTGGGAGGGGGTACCAGGGGGTCGCCCACTTCACCAGACAAATAAACAATGATGACAGGCCAACAGCGATAAGAATAAGGGATACGTTTCCTTGTACAATTATAATGGACGTGGGAAGCCTCGACGACAGTCTGTAATAATTAAGAAACTGAGATTTCATTGAGGGAAACTAATCCAGAAAAAGAATAAATATTCGGAAAACTATTGGCTGAAAGCCTTCCCAATGGAAACTGAACGATATTTAATCTGGTATTATACCAAACTGGAGATTTAATTGGATGGGAATGGATTTTTTATTGAGCTATAAAGAAATTTACAGTTCAAGTTGCGGAGGTCTTAAGTTAAGAGATCTTTAAATGAGGACAAGTGGAAAGTTTCCTCCAAAGTTCGATCTGCGTTGAGAACGCTCCCAGGAATTGACGAGGATCTTATCGTATTTGTTAGTCTAGGAACATTCGTGTATCTGTCAGCAATAGGGAGCTGTATTTCTACGGAAAACCAAAGGCCCACAAAGCCTATTGCAAAAATTTATGTATATTTGTGGAAAGTACGGATAGGGGCAGAGTAGAGTAGAGTACGCTGACAGCAGCCTGTCATTTGTCTCAAGAGAGTAACAGTTTCTCCACCCATTCAGAAGAGAGACTCTCACCAGCTGTCGAAATGAAATGTCTACCTGCGAAATGATTTCATTTTCAGACGAACGGACAGACGTTCGGACTCGGACTCGGACTCGCTTCTCATTTGCGAAAAGTAAATGCCGCTTTTAAAGTCAAATGAAGGGTCGGGAGCAGCAGCAAAAGTAGCAGCAATAATAATGTAAAAAGAGGGGCAGAAGAGCCGGGGGGGGACAGTGAATACAGAGCCAAAAAACAAAACAAAAACGTTTTGACTTGTGCCCAAGAGCAGCAGCGGCTGTGCGGCAGCGGCTGTGGGGCTGTGCAACCTGATGTTCGTTAGGGGAAAGGTCAAGGATTATTATACTTCATCATAACTCTATTAAGCTGCGGAGTTCGCAACAGCACAGCTTACTGTCTTACTGCCTGCCTCATGTCTCATGCCACATGCTGCCACTTGGTCGCTGCTGCCTTCACTGCGCATTTGTTTGTATATTGTTATTATCTTTTTATGCGGCACACACGAGAGATCTACAAAGTCAGAGGCAGTGCCAGTGGCAGTGGCAGTGGCAGTCAAGCCTCAACCTCATATTCCTCCTCCGCTCCCCTCTACACATGATGTATGCCCCCACTCTCCTCTGCCCGCGCCACTCTGGTGATAGTTTCGTCTTTTGAGCATTACCTTTTTTTGTGGGAGTTTTACTGTTTAGTTTTCTATTACACGAAATTGAGTAAAAGTCCCAAAATGAAAGCCACCACCCCACTGTCGGCGGAGGGGTGGAGAGCTGTGCGAGGGGCAAACGACTTTGAGAGCAAAGAGGCCCAAGAGGCAAAGAAACGACGAAGCTTTCGAGGCGACTTTTGTACGGGGCAAGCATTTGATTTGATTATTGAAGAGTTTTGCATTAACTTCCGAGAAACGAGACCGAAAAGAGGGGACAAAAACGCTTTAATGCTGCCTGCCTACCACCCTGCCCTCCCCCTTTTGCTTGCTGCTTCCCTGTTCCGCTTTGATCGATGAATGCCTGCGATGCTGTCTCTGTCTTTGGCATTTGGTCTCGTGTCTCGTGGAATGATGCGGCACAAATTGCAGAGCAGAATAAATGGGTGGTAGAGGAGCAGGAGGAGCAGACAGAGAGGGAGAGAGCGCTACACAAAGAGAAAATGCAGTAGCCGTGAAAGAAAGACTGAAAGATAGACCAAATTCTGATAATTTATGGCAGAGGTAATACGAGCACAAATTTATTTTGTGTGTGCCTGAGCTGCAAGTTACGGTGCAAGGGCATCAACTAACAACGAATCCCGACTACCTTATTTTTCTCGCAGTGCATGCCAAGCGCCATCTGGCGGCGCGTGACAGCCAAAGCCCATCGCTGACGACTGGAGAGGGAGAGGCAATGACGAGTTAATTTCTTCGCCTTCTCATGCATTAATTGAGTAGCCCGAGGGGGGTGGGTTGTGGCTTGTGCAGCGGAGAGTTATCCAACTTATATAAGAGTGCATGGGCATGGCCTCAGTCGCTGAGGCGACATTAAAATCCCAAGAGGAGTGACCACAAAAAATGGCAAATGGCTGGCTGGCTGGCTGGCTGGGGCGCTTAGATTTCCAGTAATTTCATACCATTCCCAGTCGCAGTCGCATCCTACCATACCGTACAGTACCATTCCCAGTACCCATTCCCAGTACCCATTGCCTTAGCATCCATCCATCGACAAAAAGGTCAAATCTTCAAACTGGATGATGTTCATTAGCGACACAGAAAGCCACAAAGCGTGAAACTCCGGCGGCTACAGAGGCAACACAGAAACACAGAGAGAACGAGACAGAGAGAGAGAGAGAAAGAGAGAGAGAGAGAAAGAGAGAGAGTGAGGAGAGATCTTTTGTGAGCTTGCACTTTAGACCCAAAAGTTGCATTTCCTTGGCCCCCCCCACACCACCCACTCTGTGGCCTCTTTGGAGTGGCCTCTCCTACCGCTGCTACTCCTCCTCCTCCTCCTCCTCCTGTCCATTGTCCGTGGGCACTGCTTTGACTCTCGACCCTTTTTGTCCGTGTTTACATCAAAAACGTGCCTCAAGTGTTCCTGTCACTGCACAAATTGGACATTTATTTGTTGCCCCATCGACTGCTGCCCCCCCCACACCGCTGCCCTTCCCCTTGCCCTTCGGATGTATTGCCATTTCCATGGAAGGAACGTGTTAAGGATTTCGATATGGGGTTCAGAGTGGGAATGAGAACGGGAACGGGTACGGGAATGAATGTGTGCCCCTCCTGCTTCTGCTACTTCAGCTTCTTCTCCTCCTTCTACCGTAAACATGAAATGCATTTACACCGATGCACCGATGAGGCAGCGAATTTTGTGGCGCCACCCCTCCTCGTATGCTCGTATCCAACATTCAGGGGCGTGTTTTCGATCCGCTTTGGCTAATTGATGGTTTTGGCCAGCCATCAAGCTGCAGCATCAGCAGCAAGCAGCAGCTGCACTCCGCCCACAGTTGGATAACTCACTCCTTAAGCAGACACTCTGCTTGCCACTTGCCACACAATTATGCCACTCGCTGCACTGCAATTTGTCAATTAGCTGATGGGGTTGGGCGATGGATTGCTGATGCTGATGCTCCCCCAATTGGGGCATACATATGGGAACCATTTCTGATCTGAATCCCTTTTCTTTGCTCTTCTTTTTATTTGCAGAACTTCCTGGCGGCCAATGCCCAGTGCTGGTGGAACGGACCACTGACGGCGGCGACGCGTGCCCTCAAATACGCCGGACATGTGGCACCCGGAATGCTGCTGGTCACCGCCGAGCCCTGCGCCCTGGAGGTGCTGCGCGGAGCCTTTGCGCGGAGCGTCCTCAAGCCACCGGCCACTTATGTGATCAGCTCTGTGGGTGAGTCCTCGCCGTAGTTGTTGTTGGTTGTGGGTTGGTGGGTTGGGTGTAGTTGTAGCAATCCTAGAGACACATTTCGATCAGAAAGAACGAATGCTATTCGATCTGCCAAGAAAACATCTCTCGGTACAGACAAAATCTCCCAAAATTAGTTTGAAGTAGAGTCTTGAGCCATGTCAGGATGCAGTGGTGGCCAGTGTGGCTCCTGCGACGACGAGGATACGCAGATGTCGATGGACGAGCTGCGCAGGCGCATGGACAATGAGATGGTGGCCAATGCACAGGTCGATGAGGGGAATCAGGATGATTTCCAGCGGTGGCAGGAAATTGTGAAGGTGCGCTGGGTCATGTTCGAGGAGCAGCGGCGCCACAATATGCGCTGCCAGTCGATGGGTCGCGGCGCCACAATCTGGCGGATCCTGTCGAAGGTACAGCAGGAGCTGGAGGAGAAGCTACAGCTGCAGAAAGTACTTGGCTCCTGCCAGCGCTTCCCCTCGCCCATGGCCCTCATGGACGATGAGCGGAAGGTGGGTGGCAATCTGTTGGTGCTCGAGCCAGTGCGTGACGTACTGTGTGGCAGGGATGGCTGCGATCTCTTGGAGCAACAGTCTTCTGGGCAGGTCCAGGCCGACATGGCTCAGCAATCTGAACCAGAGCCATGGAATGTGCAGGATATGCCGAATGAGTGCGGGTGTGCGGCATGTGAGGAATGCAGTCGACAGAAAAAGCTTCAGCAGCAGCCCCACAGCGTGAAGGATCAGTCCAGGATGGACAACTATCCAACGCAGCAGCTGCAGCAGCAGGCCCAACCAAAGGCGAAGGCAAAGGATGGCTGCAATTGTCTGAGTGCCGCAATCCTGGAAAAATCCAGACAACAGCCGTCGCAGCCGTCTCAGCCGTCGCAGCCGTCTCAGCCGTCGGAGAAGTCAAAGTCCACCATCTGTGGCAGCTTGGAGTGCCAGTTCCAGGGTGATTCCGAGCAACATGGGAGCAGCAGGCGAAGCTCGTGTCAGCAGCAGCACCAACCAAAGGCGAAGGCAAAGGATGGCTGCAATTGTCTGAGTGCCGCAATCCTGGGAAAAACCAGGCAACAGCCGTCGCAGCCGTCGCAGCCGTCGCAGCCGTCTCAGCCGTCGCAGCAGTCAAAGTCCACCTTCTGTGGCAGCTTGGGGTGCCAGTTCCTGGGTGATTCCGAGCAACATGGCGGCAGCAGGCGAAGCTCGTGTCTGCCCTAACTTTCTGCAGAGGTTCAATAAGATGAGCAAGCTCAATCAGTCGGGCATGCTCGTGCCGGCCAATGCCTTGCTGGAGCTCGCACAGGAGCTGCCAGAGAACGTTGGCCGATCGGCAACGTGGACCTGCCACACAATGCCATCGCAGCTGCACAGCGTTGCGAATGAAACGGCAAGGAACATACCGCAACGTCCCCGCCGCATCACTGAGGACCCCAACTATGTGCACTACGATCCCCTGCTTGTCTATGTGAACGAAAAATTCCATGTGGATGTCACGTCCGGCATGGGCCACTCCATATGCCGCGAGAGCAGTCAGACTTCCTATTATAGCGCCATTCAAATGGAATCCAAAACGGAGCCAGTGTCAGAATCGCTTCTTGGATATTGTCCGCTGTGCAACAAGCGGCACCTGCGTTTGCCTCCGCCCTTTTGACCCCTACCATCGGCTGCAGTGCGCTAAAGCAAATAAAGCAAAAGGCCTAGTTAAATATGATACCTTCCGCTCTTCCGATCTATGGGCTGTGGGGGTCCATGTACCCCCACTGCCTGCACCTCATCAAATATTGATGCCGCTGTCTGGGTCTGGGTCCGCTGTGCCTCGTTAGCTGTCAATTAAGTGGACACCTGTGCAGTTAATGCGATGCTGCCACTGCCACTGCCACACTGTCCATGTGCCCCCGCTGCTCGTTGTCCCCCTCATTCGCCATTTCACACTTTCACAGTCCTGTTCGGAGGCTGTGGCCAAAAAATCGCCACAACTCTGCGAATTGATAAATGGACAGCCAGCCAGGCAGAGATCGGAGGAGTCGTCGTCGGCCTTTGGCGAACTCTGTTTGGGAATTAATAAGTTTCGATTTGTGGCTGCCACTCGTGGCCATATATAATCCTCGGCGGCCACAATGGGGCGCTCCATTTGGCCTTTGTCGGTTAAAACTTTGTGGCATTCATTCAATTGAGGAAATATTGCTGCTGCCTGACTGCCAGCCTGCCAGCCTGCCTGCTACCAAACAAAGAGGCGCACTCAAACACCACAAACACACACGCACGTACACAGACGGGGCACAGACGGGAGTTGCAACTACATACATATGTACATTGTATGTGTGGCATGTTGGTTGCATTTGGCAGGCAGAATCGGTTCCATGTTTGCTAATTAACATCTGCAATGGCGTAGAACCCATTAACTATTAATTACCATAAACATGACAATTCCATCCGCAAACAAGGGGATGCCACATGCGGGAGGCAAGCATGCTGCTGCATATGCAATACTGCACTTGGGATGCCTTCGTTACACTCTAATTTCTATTTCCTCCACTAATAAATCCGGCAAGCAGTTAAAAATTCTTTGTACTGCTTTGTAGAACACATTGAATATAAGCAATGTTGCTAGACAATGTTGCCAGGAATTGCATGCAGCTTTTGTTAAGTTTGTGACGCTTCCCTTCCCATTATCTTTTAATATTCTGAATTTTCCTATGACCAACATAAATCTCTGATAAAATCTAAACTGTAGATTACACATTCGGAGAGGCGTAACTCGATAAATGCCAGTAATGCCAGCAGTATAAAACGGGGGCGCTGGGCGCGCTCCCGTCTTCTGTCTGTGTTCCTCCGCGGGGGCCGCCCCCGCGGGGCGGGGGGGCGGGGGCGGGGTTTCGGTGGGGTGCGCCGTGTCGGGCCCTAGCGGACGCGGCGGGGCGGCGGCGGCGCGCGGCGCGTGGTTATGGGGTCACGCCCCCGTTACACCCCACTACCCATCATATACCCTTGGTCGGGTATAAATATGTGGCCAAACATTACAACAAATAAAACCCATCAAAGCGAGAAAGAAGTAAAGTAATATTCATGGTCCTTGGTTAGCGACCCTTGAACTAACAGAAAGAGCTTTAAATTCTTAAATCTGGTAAATTAATTACATTAAAAAATCATAAAAGTCTTAGCAAACAAACGGGCTTTTGGCGAAAACGGTAAACAAATAATACACCTGGGCATTGGCATTAAATTAAATGTAGTTTTATTGACTGGCTGCAGACAGCTATTAATTTGGATTTTAGCAGGTTGTTATTCACGAAATAAAGTTTAATTGTAAAAGGTTGTAAAACGCCTGGGGTTCCACTTAACAAGCAGTCAAAACAAGCAGTTCAAACAAGCAGTGATAAATCAGTTTTCTGATTCAGAATGAATGAACACTCCCCTCCCATGCTGATCAAATGAAAACTAAACCGAAGAAAAGTGGGAAAATAAGAGCAACAATAACTATGGCAATAGGCAATAAGGCAATAACAATAGCAACAATAGAAATAACAAAATAAATAACACACATTGCATGGAAAACAATCAATCAGGCGGCAATTTCTCGCTCAATTAGACAACAAACATGCCAAATAAATGCAACAGCAACAGTAACAGCAACAGCAATAACAAAAATCCAACGAAAGAAACTGAAGAGCCAAATTAAATTCAGTTTCGTGTTAAAGAGCCAAGTGGATGTGTGGTGGGGTGTGGAGGGGAGTGAAGATTGTGAAGTCTGTGTGCTGCCAATTTGACAACGGAATATCAGTAAAGTGAAGGAAGCAGCAAGCAGTGGAGTGGTGAGAAAACAGAGTGAAGCAGTGAAGAAACAGACAAATGGCAAATGCAAAATAGCTGGAAAGCGAGAAAATTATTCAGTTCCCAGATCGAGAAGAGAGACAGAGACAGCGAGAGAGAGAGAGAGCAGTAAAGAGTGAGTGAGTGAGTGAGAGAGTGCTGTCTGTCTGATTGCCGAGTGAAAAATAAAGAGCCGCAAATCAATTTCATCACGATTTCTCGGCGATCCATCCGAGAGATGTTGCTGAAAGTGAAATGTGGTGGCCATGACAGTGCCGCGGCTCCCGGCACCCCGGCACCCGGCTCTACCCATCGATCTGCGGATGGATTGTCCGTCCGTCTGATAATTGTAACTTAATATTCGAAGCCATTAACAAATCGCAAATCTGTAGAAATCAGTCACATCAGCAGAGCCCTCCCCCCGCTCCGCAGTGTTGTCAGGGGGGGATTCCATTAAATGGCATTTTGTCTCAGCTGCCTGTATGTATATGCAGATGAGATGAGACCGAGACACATGCTGCCCACTGTGCAGACTCGCATGCTGCCCTCCAAAGCTACTGTAAAGCAGTGCAATCTTCCTTCTACCGTTAGAGATTTATGTGTGGAATTTACCCACATTTCGTGGCAATTTCTGGAAAGAGTTCAACAAACTTCCGCCACCCATCTAATCTCTGGAGAAGTGGGGGTGTGGTGTACGCTTCAAAGCGTAACCAAGTTCGCCAAAATACAAAAAACAAAAACAAAAACGTAGAGGAAGAAAGATCAAAAAGACAAGAGTCACTGTCATTGAGGTCTTTCTTTGGTCGGTCTTTGCAAGTTCATCTGCTGAATCTCATGGTCGCTTGAGCACACTGTCCCCCCACCACCCCCACCCATACCCCCAAACACCTCACCCACCCAATAAAATGCCGCATCAAAAGAGCGTTACCAAAGCGATTATTGTAATTCTATTGTTCTCCATCTGGCAACGTTCTCCTCTCCTTCGTTCTCTTTCATCATCTTCTGGCTGTGGTGCCTTTGACTGGTCACACTGATTACTCCTGATCGCCCCCCGACAGCACCCCCGTAATGAGGTCAACCCCACTTTGACTTTAACTTTTGGTTACGCTCCGCAGATTTCTCCCTCATTTCGCTGGGAAAGTGTTCGCTCTCCCTGGGAAGCCATCAGCCATC